AAAGTAGCTCTCAGTGATTGCTCTGCCATTCGCTCCCGGGAATAGTTAGAGACCTGGGATAGAAGACAGTTACGGCATTCTGAAACACTTATTGATGTTGAGTTTTCGTTTTTTTTTCATAAAAATATTTTAGTCGAAAAAACATAAAAAATGACCTTTTTGTATATTTTTTCCCGAAAAAACCAGAACACAAAAAAAAAGTTTGCGGTACAAAAAATGGTTACATGGACGAGTAGTATCTATGATAAACATATCAGCCTTGTATCTTGTAAGGTGACGAAATTAGCCAAAGTCCGTTTTTGCTGGAAACCCGGTTTTTGCCTAGGCTGTCCCGACATAGCATTTTAAAAAATTTTTCGAAGTGACAGTTATGCTTAGAATGTTGAGTTCTACTAGTTCTGGAAGTTTCATCGTGTTGGGATGATGTCGCTGTAAAGTCTGGTACGTTTCCGAAAAAACAATCCTGTCGTTTATGTATGCACATTCAGTTTTTTCGCAATTAATTAATTTAATGCGTTTTCATAAAAGCTGCATGCCCTATCAAAGTATCCGATAGCTTTATAATAATTTCCAATGTTATTTAATGTTTCACTCAGATATCGATGATGACAACATTTCATTTTTATGTCATAAGCCTGCGAGAAGCATTTAAATGCTTCATTCCCATTTGTTGTATGCATATGTAGATCGCCAATATGATCGTAAATCGATGCTCGATCTTTATGATTTTTAGGTAATACATTTAACATCATTTGAAAGTAGGATTCAACTTTGGTATAATGACCCATATCTAATAGAAGACGTCCAAATAGCATATTATTCGTACTACTACAGGTTTCAAATTTCTTTCGTATTAATTTTAACTGTTCTTTTATTTCTGTTGTACCTTCACCCATTGCCTTCATTTGTACTATCCATACACCATTTGGTCCTTCTTGATCACCGTCCTGATAAACCTGTTCAATCTTAAATACAGAATTAATATTGAATAAAATTTCAGTTTCGCCTTCTCTATCCAGATATTTGACAATATCAACAAAGATCAAATCTTTCAAAGGACAATCGACAGTGATTTCGTATAGTACAGCTC